CCTTGCATGTCGAACTTTCTTTTCACCTTGACCTTGAACTCGGGCGGAGACAGACCTGCCACCACTGCTTTGCTGAGGAGAGCGGCCGGACCTTTCTTGAACGCTCCACTGGAGTTTCCAAAAACACGCTCCGCACTCGGGATTTCGAAGTATTGCTCGAGGCGGCTTTGAACAGCGTCTATCCGATCTACAGCAGTAGTCTCAGTCCCCATGACTACCATACGGGACACGGCGGCGGCTGCAATCGAAGGCTCAAGGGTATCATCCGTCCAGCATTCAGCATGTTTGGCCAGGGCCTCGCGCAGGTCAGCGTCTTCAAGGTCAGTGCCATCAAAGTGGGTGCGCGACAAGCATTTCCGGATAGACTGGCGCAGCAGTTGAGACACAGTGAGCAGCGGGCGTCTGATGGATTGCCCACTGTTGCAGAGACCCATGCTCCGCTCGTACTCGGTGTATTGCGTGTAGAAACGCAAGGACGAAGCTCGTGAAAAAGTACGTCCATACTCGGGCGGCTTGGGCCCATTGCCCAAACAAAACCAAGTCTGTAAGCCCCGCCCCGAGCTCACCAATATCTCCAGCAGAACCTTGCTGTGCGCCAAGCCCCCCCTTGCCAACATTGGAGCGTCTCGGAGCCATCGCGCCGTACGATGCCCGGGAAGATCAAGACAGCAGCTCCGCGGGAGATCAGAACAGCAGCTCCACGACCGCAGCCTCGCACTCAGCGAAGCAAGCGAAACGCGGAGGAATACCTCGCCCTGCTGTTGTCACGAAAATGTTTTTTGATCCTGACTGACCCTGGTCGGTCAGCCTGAGTTATCGATAACTGTAGACACGCCTGAAGTCAGGCAGGGCCTAAGACCAGTATCCTCCCCCCGTGGCCTCGGGGGGCTGGTCAATTCACCTCCTTGGTGATGGTAAACACAGTGTATTATTGTTGCACACGAGTATCGTCTCTCTCTTTCCATCTATCTATCTCTCTTGCCAACATGCCAACCAGGCAGATGGAAACCCCAATCTGCCATATCTTTGACATGCATACATATCCAACGGCAGCTTCCCACCGTGAACTACTGCCACCCAGGTGCGCTGCGTCCACATGCGTCCACACGTCCACTGTCGAAGAGCGCTCCCTGGCGTACTTCTGGAGACGCGCCCACGCTGCTCTTTGCTGGTTAATCTCCTGCGTAAGTTCAACATCTATCTTCTCTGACCCGACCATCCAGGTATCGGAACTTTGCTGTCGGGGCTTCTTTACTGCTGCTTTGATCGCTGACGGTGCCGCAGATGGTGAAGGTGGCGCTGGCGTGCTCCCTGCGTCGGCTTCTTCTCTGACACCCGCATCAGGAGAGTTTCTCTCTTCGTCTCCGGCACCATCACTCCGAATGCTCCAAAAACTTCCGCGGTCATTATCCTCGCCAGGCCTTCGGCCGATCTCGATTCGAAGTCAGGGACATCGGCGTACAGCATACCTACCCCACATCGGGGTCGTTGCCCTCCCCACACAGTCTCTACCTTGAGATATATCCGATCCCTGAGGATGACGTCGTATTCCCTGAATCGTACCCGAACTCTCTTGAGCGCTCCTATCCTTGTCGCAGTCCCTGGGTGACCTCGCACAATTCAGAGAACTTCCCGTGATCCGTTCCACACATCGACGAGAATAGCGTTACACTGTTCGATACCATTCTCAAGTTCAACGGGCTGCAGCGTTTGGTGTTCATTTCCCCGCGTGCCCTCCGTCGCTCGGCAAGTGCTGCCTATGGACAAGAGAGCCATATGCGCTAGGGCAGTCTCCCCCGAGTGTGAGGGGGGAGGCTAGGCCCCTAAGCCCTCATTAAGAGAGTATAATACGTTCCGACGTTAACAGAGGCACCACAGATGGGACACCAAGAGGGTGGCATCAACATCTCCAACTGCCATGTCTGGGCCACTAGCAGAGTCTTGTCCACAACGCCTCCAACGCGACTGTTGTTTTCGTTTCCGGGCTATCGCAATACTCCAGCATACGTGATATCCGGGTCTCTGCCAGCAACACTGCCTGCGATGCTTCAAGTTAGCAAGAGTGGGCAAGGTATTGGAGCAACTGATCGATCACCTGATACCTCAGCATTTCTTCCCGCAGCGCTTTGCGACTGATGGCCGTCGCTTTAGCTTGTCCCGCACGTCAAGGTTTGTATACACGCATGAAATCAGGCAGGGCGAAGGACGAGAATCCTCTTGCCGTGGCCTCGGAAGGCTGGTCGATTCACCTCCTTCGTGATGGTCAACAGTGTATTATGTCACACGCGTCTATCTCTCTCTCTTCTCTGCCAAAATGCCTCCCAGACAGATAGAAATAGCAACCCTAACCTACCACATCTTAGACACGAGATATCCAAAGAACGACTTCCCACCGTGAACTACTTCGACCCAGGCGTGCTGCGTCCACAATGCCCCCAAAAGCTTATTACCACCGGTGTAGACATAATCAGCTTGATCTCAGACGGTAGGAACCTGGTCCTATTCTCAAGTAAACGATAGCGATGTTTGTGAATGATAAACACCCATACACGGCGACACCATTTCGGACTAATGCCACTGCATTTCAATAGTCAACGTATGTGTTCAGCTTTCCATACAAAGCGCAAAATGCCCGCATTCAAGAATGACAGGCATGCGACGCTACAAACGATTACAACACGCAAATGATGCACGACCAAACTAACTTGGCTGAGGCCGCACGCTCGCAAAAGAAAAGGACTTCCGCAGTGGAAGGGCGACCAACACGCAGCAAGCAACGTGAAATAGGCACATTTACCATACGAGGGAAAACCATGAAAGAAACAACAAATCTCGAAGCAACGCTGAAAACCGTTACGAGGCGCTTCCAGGGGGGCGTTCAAATACCTCAGAAGACAAACATTATTGTTGCGACGACCCACACGATCGTCGAACAAGTCAGTGCCCTGAAATTGAAAACGCACCCAACCCTCGAAGAAATATCACTACCACGTTGTCAGACGGCTGCCTTCACGCAATTCAACCACATCCAACTATCGGACCAGCCAAGCCACCACCAATACTAGGCAATCCGGCGGACAGTGACCTACCAACACGTGTAAGAGTCAGGCACGGCTCAACCAAATTATTGCTCGGCATGCTGAAGAATGTACCCGAAGTAGCAGTCAGTGAAGAAATGCTATCAATACTAGACAAGATAGATAGCCCTCACTCAATCAACTCAAACAAATCAAGCACAAATATGAAGGAAGTCAGCGAAGAAATGCCATCAATACGCAAACAAGACGGCCCTCGCTCAACTCAGAATGATCGCTCAACTCACACCTACTGTATAAATCGATCTGAAAGTTTCCCGAAAACTTGAATCATACCGAATCAACCAAACAAGTTGAAAATACTATAGGCGAAACCCTGGAATCTCTTGAATCATACACTTCACTTGAAAATAGTGCACCACGATTCAAAGCGTCCATTTTCAATCAGGCTGAAAAGTTGGATGATTCAAAGCACGATTGGTGCCCCCCTCAACGGTGTCAGAACTGCAACAAAGTATGGGCCCAAGTCATATCCTGCACGGGCGCCGTTCTTGGTGTCATACTTTAGGCTGAACCCCGGAATTCTTGAATCATACACTTCACTTGAAAATAGTGTACCCTGATTCAAAGCGTCCATTTTCAGTCAGGCTGAAAAGTTGGATGATTCAAAGCACGATAGGTGCCCCCTTAACCGTGTCAAAACTACAACGCCCAAGTCATCTTCTACACGGGCGCCGTTCTTGGTGTCACCTGCTTTGTTTCTACTCGAACAAAATGCGATGGACAGACGGGGGCAGAGTGGTGGCGGTCGTCGTGGTGATGAAGGGTGGAGGCAAGGTGGTGGCCGAGGGGGGCCGTGGATGCAAAAATACTGTCTTGATTGCGAAAACGCGCCGCGTGCTTCGATTTTGCTCGTTTTTTTACAGACATGGGTGGGAGTCGGTCAGACACAGCGCTGTGCAAAATTTCAGGGCCATCGAAAATCATGGGGCCGCGCACACCAGTGCGGGGTGTAAACATGCTGCTGTGACGCTTCAATCAGGCTTCAAAAATCGACATCAACTCCGATTGCCTTCGTTTCCCCCCAAAAATTTGGCATAGGTCAGACACACCCCTGTGCAAAATTTCAGGGCCAGCGAACAAAATGGTGAGGTTTGGTACAGCCAAACGTCTACACTTTTCGCCTGGAACACTGAATCAAGCTTTAAAATTCAGGATCTTGACGTACACAGTTGTCACTTGGCAGCGTCCATGGTGTGGCTGGCCCGCATCTTGTGCGAAAAGAAGAGCGCGATCCGACACATCAGCGCCGAGATATCGAAGGAAACGTGCTCACGCCACAGGCCTCAAATCAAGTAATATGGAAGCTCCGACTGCTGTGGACACATTTTTAGAATGTGGGAGGATGGGAGTACCCCCCCCGTAAACCAAAATGTTCGGAGAGATAGGGGTGATATCTAGCGTAGATACATTCAACCATCGTACGCACGGGTCGCAAAAATAAAAAGCGAGGGGCAGAAAGTCATCTTACACGTCATAGGAGCACATTCCCGTCGGTTTGGGGCGATGACAGGGTGTCTCGTGGGCCACAAAATCGCTGTCGTCATCTCAAATGCGCCGGAGCGTACCTCGCGGTCGAGAGAGCAGCGTGTCCCCATGCAGACGCGCACACATCATAAGCGACACATAACACACACCTTTGTCTCCCAAGATTATCAGTCGTGGTACCCTGCTGCCTGTCGCCCTCCTCCGCGAAGTCTCTGCTTCGCTGCGCTGCTGCGTGGCGAGGTGTTGTGGCACAGGAGAGGAGAGAAAGGGGAGCCCGCAGATGAGAATTGCGGCGGGTTTACTCATAAAAGTGTTGCTTTTCGGGACACATGCGGCGGAACCACTAAATAATCAATTTCTCGTCGCGCTTCGATTGACCTCGGGTTTTTAACTTTTTGCGTTTAATTGCTGTTGATCATGGCGCTACCATTGTTGGCCGTAAATCAAATTTCACACATCTTCAGATGTTGCGCACAACTCGGAAAAGGTGAGTGTGTGGGTGTGGGTGACGTGTTACCTGTCATGAGGTACACGGGTGATGCGAGCACTTTCCATATCTCATCCCCCAGAACTCCGATTGTCATCGTTTTTTTCGTGTTTGATTGTTGTTGATCATGTCTATCACGTTGGCCGCAAATTAAAATGGAGACATGTCCCAGATATTGCACACAACTGGGAAAAGTTGGGTGTGTGTGAGTACCCATGGTGATGCGACACAGGTGGACGGTTGCACAGGTTGGGGGGGGGT